GCTTTGGCATTAACTTCTTACCAATATATAATTATTTTAATAGCAAAAATAAAGTTAATTAAAATTTAGAAGTTAATTAAAATTGATAAGATTGAATACAAAATATTTCTTTCATAAAAACGGTAGCGTATGTCTCCGCATTTAAATTTAAAATGTGTTCTCCATATTGGAGCATTGATATGCAAAATAGCAAAGTCAGCTCTTGCTGACGAAAGCAACGACGAATGCAATATTACAGTTAATTTAAGAGAGAACAGCTCGAATTTTACGATATTCAGTATTATATATCAGATAGAACTTACTTTAATATTGCACCTAAAGCCATTCCTGCCGGCAGTGTTGTTGGCAAATCTTTCAATGAATGCACGACGAAATCAACACTACCATTTTCTAAAGCTAGTTCCAACTCCTCGGTAAACAGGGACTTCTCCCCGATCTTTGGTAAAGACTTATCCAGAATCTTATCTCCTTTAGTATTCATAGTTACTGCAATTTGATTTCAATTTGATAAAATAAAGCTTCTAATTTTATAAAAGTGCATATACAATTCGATATATACAAGTTATTATGTTAACAAAATATATATGATAATGAATGTTTTATTATATACAGTCATTCAATATATAACAAAAAAAAGTTGTACTTATCAGTACTTCAAATATATTATATAGTGATATGTAGTCAAAGAAGGGAAGAAATTGCGAGATTATCACGTGTGATACTGAGAAATTATGAAATCTGATACTAAACTTTTAAATTTTTTTAAAACAAATTTATTGAAGTTACACGAAGAATAATTAACATAACAGCGAATAGTGCATGCACTAGTTGTATAATCTGCTTACCTATTTCAAATTCTTTTTTTGGGTGAATTTCTTTCAAACATTGTATTACGTGTTTAGTCTGTATCAAGGCCAACTAAAAGGTTTTAAAAAATACATTATTCATGTTCAAAATAAAAAAAAACATGTTTCTTTTCAATTTCATGTAATAAAATACAATTAAAAATATATATAATTATATGTATAATATGTAAAATTGTGTAACAGAATTGTTTATTTTCTAAATTAATATTTTAATTACATATTTAAAAAATCATTTTGCAATTACACTTTTTTATATAAGTTTAAAAATATCGGATTATGATTAGTCATCACTGACGATAAACTAAAAAAAATTTTTTAAACAGCTGAGTAATCTTACGCCGAAGTACAAGAACAATCCAGACGCGCAGCAGTGGTTACATAAAATTAATAATTGTCATCGATAAGAGATGATGATTTGTAATCAGTTTTCTTAGTCAAAAGAGAAACGGAAATCATTCTTTACATAATTTACATAATTTACATAATGCGATAAGCGGTTTTCTCAAACAATTTTTTTTTCCTTGTAAAACCGAAAAACCGGATTAAAAAAAACGAAAGCGTGCACTCACCTCGCTTTTCCGAGATCCAACTCGGATTACATCACATTTTTCATCGCCGTTCATTATTACGTTTTGTATACCAAGTATAATCGAGCGTTAAACTTTGGAATGTATTAGGTGTTGATAAATACAAGATAAATCCAAGTTCGAGAAATAACGATGGAAGAAGGGATGTGGAGATCTGAGAGATACTCTAATTGGGTCGAGGAAGGTGAATACTTTCACTACAAACTAGGAACTGCGCTTGACCTTACGACTTCTTGCGTTTCTACGAGCAAGATGTGCGAGGAAAAAAGACGAAATTATGGGATTAATGTGCGTAGGCTGAATTCTTTCACAGTCACTGGCACTGCAGCAGAATGTGAAATTGATTAAGAAAGTTTTGGAAGAACGACGACGATAAAAGTTAAACTACCGCCATAGCGAATGCAACGCGACTAACTGTGATTGACGAAACGGAGTAGAATATAAAATTATAAATAATCATTCGAGTGATACCACGTGTTGCCAAGATGTCGCTCGACATTCGTCGATAAATAAATCTGAGAAGAAATCTGACTTATCAATGGAAAATAACAATAGTATAAAAGTATATAAATAAAATAATATAGTCGCGAATCAAAATTGTGTAACAGAAATTTATAATATCAGGATTAATTTATAATATCAGGAGAATACAATCTGTAAAAATTGTATTTTCTAAAATTGTGTTATTTCTGAAGAATTAGCCTAACGAGATATATTTAAAATCATCAACTGGGCTTCTCATGATCTGCATCATCGACAAAGTATTAGGCCTGTTCTTTTTGGCTGAACTTTGGCATCAGTTTATCTTTCTTCTTCTTTTCTCCTGAAGAGAAAAGAAAGAAAGATGAACTGATGCAAAAGTTCAGCTAAAAAGAACAGGCTTATTATAGGTCTGTTTTTTTATTGCTGCACTCTGAACCGGTGCAATAAGTTGAATTGAAACAAATGTATATTATGCACTGTTTGTATCAGTTTAGAAAGTGCAGCAATAAAAACAGACCTTATGTATGTCCGCATTGCACCTTAAGGTCTGTTCATAAAGAATGCAAACAGCAGACCTATTATTACCTCGTCGATGCACATGGACTGAATATTAATATGCGTTAATTGTGACGTTTCCATGGTTTTCATGTTTCCAACGTTTTCATCATAAACATTTCCAACATGAGTGAAGAGGTTAAACATTTTTCAGATTTGAAACTGAATTCTTGGCTCCTTGCGCAATGCGAGTCTATGGGTAAGGAATTTTTCATAAAAATCATTTACTAAAAATCTAAAATAATATTCGATAATATATAAAATTTTTAATATTTGATGGCATTTAACGCTAAACTTTTGCAAAATTACTTTTTGAAATTATAGTATAGCTATTTGTTTTAGGATTAAAAAAGCCAACTCCCATTCAGCAAAATTGCATTCCTCGAATACTGATGGGTGAAGATTGCATAGGTTGTGCCAAAACTGGTAGTGGCAAAACTTTGGCATTTGTCCTGCCTATTTTGCAAAAATTGTGCGAGGATCCGTATGGCATATTTGCTCTTGTGTTAACACCAACGAGGGAACTAGCTTTTCAGGTGAAAAATTTTATTTTATTGTGCCATTATAATATAAATTGTTATGTATTTATAGGATATTTTGGATTATCCTATAATATAATAATTTTAAATGTTTTCAAAATAATAGAGAACAATTTCACCAAAATAAACCATGCTTGCATTTAATTGTAATAAATCTTATTACTGGAATTATTTTAGATTGCTGATCAATTTGCCGCAATTGGCAAGGCTATCAATCTGAAAAAATGTGTAATTGTTGGTGGCATGGATATGATGGTACAAGGATTAGAATTGTCAAAACGACCACATGTAGTTGTAGCTACACCAGGTCGATTGGCAGATCATTTGGACAGCTGTGATACATTCTCTTTGCAAAAGATCAAATTTTTAGTATTGGATGAAGCCGATAGATTGCTCGGTGGCCATTTCGATGGGCAATTGAAGACAATATTTGCCGCATTGCCCAAACAGAAACAAGTATTATTTTTCAGCGCTACTATGACAGATACTCTGGATAAAATAAAGCAAATAGCTTCTGCTGAGGTATATTTCAACGCTGCAACTGTATGAAAGGGTGAAAATCATAGTGATGTAAGTCACTTAAAAAAATTTTTTATAATTTTTAATTTTTGGTAATGTGTGAAGAGTTTTTTATTTTGTATTCTCATTTTTATCAAAGTCATAATTAAAAGACTTGCATCATTATAGGTTTTCTCTCCTTTATGTATTATATTATATTCAATTTATCAGAATAGAACTTTTTAACCAGGTTTTTACATGGCGAGAGGAAGATGACTCTGGTATTGCTACTGTGAAGGAATTAGATCAACGTTACGTATTGTGTCCTAAGGATGTGCTTGATTCATATTTGGTAGAAGTAATTAGGACGTTTCGTACTACAAACGAGGATGGTTCTATCATGATATTTACGGACACTTGCAAGTAAATAATTGTTTTCGTCATATAATATAAAATTAATTATATATTTAGATTTAAGTAATTACTAATATATATATCATTATTTTGTTATATTTAGACACTGTCAGTTATTATCCATGACGTTGAATGATGTCGGATTTACAAACGTGGCTCTTCACGCAATGATAAAGCAAAAGGAACGTTTAGCAGCGCTAAATAAGTTCAAGTCAAATCACGTACAGATATTAATTGCTACTGATGTCGCGGCGAGAGGTCTGGATATCCCCACAGTACAATTAATCATTAATCATGTAATACCGAATGTACCAAAAGAATACATTCATAGAGTCGGTAGAACAGCTCGCGCAGGTAAAAATGGTATGTCGATAAGCTTGATAACTCCAAACGACATAAAGTTGTTGCACGCGATTGAAAATGTTATAGGCATTAAATTAACGGAGTATAAGGTAAACGGTGAGTACATATCCTGTTTTTTTGCTTTATTTTTTTTTAAGTAATTCAAAATTGCATCTGATTATCTTTTAATTGATGCTAGACAAGGAAATCGTTACAATCTTGACGCAAATATCAGTGGCAAAACGAGAAGCAGAAATCAAATTGGACGAGACTGACTTTTATGAAAAGAAAATGATCAATAAACAAAAGAAATTAATCTTAGAAGAATGGAAGTTGGATGAAGGTCAACTGCCGGATGAGGTAGATATCGCCAAAGAGGAGAGAGAAAAACGTAGGAAGAAGAGGAAAAGAAAATTGTTGATGGAATCTTAGAAATAAAACAGTTTATATATATATATATACGATAAAACACACTAATGTACAACAAACAATTAAACCGTAATTTGTAATACAATGATAAATAGTACTACTGTTATCTTTTTATCGTATTGCACTTAAGATGTTACAATTTGTATTTAAATAATAAAAATGGACGTTTGTATCTATGTGCATAATTATTTCAGAGATCAATTGTATAAAAATATGACTAAGATTTTTTGTTGCTACAAAATATGTTTGAAAACATATTTTTCGCCAAACTTGATGTTGATTGCTCGTGAAATTTTATATAAATACTTTGTAAGTTTAAATATATACAAAATCGTCTATTGTCTTATGTATATTATGCATGTGTGCATTAGGCAAGTGTTAAGTGTACAAAATAGAATGTAATCGAAAAGGCAATTTTATATAAAAAAATACAACTATATGTGAAAGAATAGTGCGCTTTTGAGATACTTAGAGACGCGCTCTAATCTTTTCTTCGTTTTGTATTAAATTTAATTTTTGTAAGAAGGCATAAAGTTCGGCAACGTATTCCTTAGGATATGTATAGAAGTGGGAAACGTGCGGCGACTTTTCGAATATCTTCATATACGTCTGTAATACAAATGTAGTATATATTTTTATATAATTCTGTCATGAGCTAGCAAACGCGAATCGTACCTTTATTCCTAAAGAATCCCAGGTCTCGCGCAAAGATAAATTGCTGGTTACAGCTCCAACAGGATCAGTTTTGCTTACAAACAATAATGCTGGTACGCGTAGGACGTTAGCAGCATGAAATACCTGACTGGATCGAATGTAATACTGTGTCGCTTGCTGGTGGAATGTCTTCATGTGATATCTGAAAGTAAGAAAGAAAGTACTCAACTTGACATTACTCAAAGATAATTATTTTATCAATCCTATTCTCTGTTACTTACTCTACGTATTTTCGTAACATAGATTGCAACATCATGTTTTTCGGGAATACTGCACGAGGAAAACCAATTGCGATTTGACTAATGTCAGCTATACTGTCCCACACCTGTCCAACAATTCTGTCAGTAACAGTATTGTACTTGTCGTTGCTGCTTTGTATCAAATCCAAAGCTTCACCCCACATGTAACCACCCACTGAAAACCCATGTAACAGAATTTGTTGGTAACTTTCGTTTTGTTTTAAGAAAGTTAACAAATCGGCTGCCACTAGCTGTAAACAAATTGAAAATTATAACTAAACGAAAATGGACTAACTTGGTACAACTCACTCGGTAAAAAATGTTTTATGTATGAATATATATAAATATGTATAAACATACATAAACACGCAAAAATATTCATAAACATGTATAACTATATATGAAATATGTCCATACATGTTTATACATCCTTTTTTCTGTTATAAAATCACTTTTTAATGTAAAAGAAATAGTGATAGTAATGTGAGAACATTAAAAATAATTGAAAATGTAATTTTCGCACTATTTATTTTGGAAAAATCAAGTTCGAAGAAATGTAAAAAAATTACTTATAATTCTATAAAAAATTATGCATAATTATGAATATTTATGCATATTGTGTATGTTTATACATATTTGTACATATTCATAAAAAATTTTTTACCAGGGCACTTAAAATGCTATTACATAATTTCTTTATCATATATAAAATCTGCGCATGACGACACTGACGTTGTCAAAAGTTACAGAATAGGGGTCTACAAATTACAGAATAGAAAATAGATTCAATGTGATTCATCATTCTATCATATATACTTACCCTAGAACCCTTCGCAGGCCACATAAGTTGCCAAGGTGTAAGGGATACCACTACCACGTCAAAACCTTGTTCCATGTACAAATTAACAAACTTCATAACATGTCGTCGCTCTGATAGTAGCCAAGTGAGAATAACTAACAAAGGACGATTGTTTGTTACATTTAGAGTTTGAGCAATGTTTTTAGATGAGATAATACGATTATTTTGTGTAAGAAATTCAATATTCTTTGAGACATGATGCGAGAATATCGTTCGTGTCAATTGTCCAAGACCCTTAAAAAAACAGGTAAATGTTATAATAGAAGAAGTACATGATTAGCATATAATTGTATTTAAGTGGATATTATCATTACAATTGCAAATGAGAGAATACATTACCAAGTATGGGTTTCGTTTTAATAACTGTGACTGCATGCACGAGCCAATCTGTCTTCCCGAAAAGGTATTGCATAAAGCTCTAACTATCATTGTGATAAAGAATCTTCTGTCTTTTTCATATACCTATAATAACAAAATATAAGAAATTAAACATTAACTTCTGTAATAGAATCCTTCGTTTATGTACACAATTAAAGATTAGATTCCTGAAACTTCGAGATTTGTGTTTACAATCAACCCAGACAACACATTGAGACATAAGACGTCTTTAAGACGTCTTATGTCTCTCTTTTGGATACTTTGAGTTGTCTGGAAATATTATAATTATTAATTGTTATTTTGCTATTATATAATATTTACCAATTGATTCTCTTTATAAATTCCACCCAGTCAGAGAATACCACTGTGTGTGTTTAATAGTTTAGTGATTCTGCTGACTGTATATAATGAATAATCCCTTAGGATTGGCTTGTCAGTTATATCTCGTATAATTATTTCATATTTCAACTTCCACCTCTCTCCTCTCTCTTTCACCGTGTCGTTTCGAAAGATATATTAAATCTTGCTTAGCCAACTGATTTGCATTCAGACTGCCGACAAGCAATTCTCTCAAATATTATTTGAATGAAGTAATCACGATCACTGCCGCTATCTTGCGAGTGACAACTGACACGAGATCAACTGGTCGAGTGATGAAGCATCAACTAGCGGACACTAGTTTAGTGAGCGCTCATTAGAATTATTGTCTGACGATTGGAGTAGAATTCCACAGACCTTTAGATCCATGATAAATCTAGAGGAATATACCAATAACAATGAGCGTTCACTCAGCTGTTGTGTCTGCTGAACGTTATACGCCTCGGATTGCCAAAATTACGGCATCATCAAAACGTTCACGCACACACACGCACGTACAAGTACGTACTTTATGAAGACGTATGCAATTTTTTTTTTTGTTACTCTTCTCAACACCATTCCAATATATATGTGATATTTCAGATATCCTACAGTCAATCTAGTATATGTACTTTTAGCTAATACTGTATTAGTAATGTACATGAAGACGCATTTTAATGAATAATTCAGACGTATGCGTTCTTAATGAATAATTCAGATATGATATCATATATTGTACATATGATTATCACAAAAAAACTCGCGTAAAGTTCAAGGTTCCAACAATCTAAAAACTCTTACATGTCTGGCGGCGATAAGCTACACAGGGCAAAACTTTATCGAATTATCTATTACATTACGACGAGTTCCGATATCAACCCTTATCAAATCTTCAATGTGCTTCTTTGTTTATTGGCTCCCACCTCTAAATCCTCGTTCGAAAGTTCGTTCGGATCAAAATGAATACCGTCTGACATGACAGAATCAGGCGGAATCACTTCTCGGACACGTCGCCGCAAGAAGCGAACTGCAATATATATATATATATGTATGAATGCGTATGTGTGTGTGTGTGTGTATGGCACACACATTAAGGGCGCATCGTTCACGCACCCGTGCGACTGGATCTCCTTATTTTTCTTCCCGGGGGTGCGTGAATGCGCGCGCGTGAAACTTCCGCGTCTGCGCTCATGACGAGCAAAATCCGCTCTCGTTAGAAGACAGTTCTACGCGCGATATAATTTAACATGAAAAATACATAACGAAATCAGAATGCATGTATAATAAATTATATTATAATACGAAGTACACATAGCGAAAAATAACAACGTAAACAAAAACGTGTTAGATTCTATCCTTGAAATGATATTAGACCATAAGATATGGACTTTTAAATGACGAACGGACTTTTAAAAAACGGAAGAGAAGAAAAGAACACATGTAAAGTGAAATATGCTGAATGGTGTATACTGTATTTTAAAAGAACGTCGTCCTTCTTATTCGCGCTCATTTTTTACGCGGTTAAACAAAAGCTCACGAAAGTTTGTATCTTTCAGAAAGCAAAGTACGAATGCGAGCTGTGGACATTTTTATCGTAAAAAATCACATATTTTGATAGAAAATAAAACATTCAGACGTTTTAGACTTGCATCTTTCATAAATAATAATCGAAACAACCCAGCAAACGAGAATGGATTGAAATGGATTAAAATGGATTCAGATTTTCAGAAATACGGATTCATGAATGTTAAAATGAATCCTTTTCAATCCTGAATGCATTTTTATTCATTTATATAAGAATTGCATGAAACAAATATCTATTCCTTTTCAATCTTGAATGCATTTACTTATTTATAGGAATGGTATGAAGTATATTTCTACGCTTTTTAATCTAAAAATAATATTATGATTTGTATGTATGCATCGTAAATACTGCTTAATTTAAAATTCTGAATATTCTAATAATGTAGTTTTTCAATCCAATCAGATCTAAAAATAATATCAGCCATTTCTACTGCATTGTGAATACTGCTAAATTCAAAATTCTAAATAGAAAACGCAGTTTTTTAATCCAATTGAATAAAAAAGTTTTTCCTTTAATGGCCCATTTTCTTAAAATAGGCCATGAATACTATTCAAAATTGTGAGTGGAAAATTTATTGTTTCATTTAAAAATGCATCATAAATGCTATTTATTCAGAATTATGAATAAGAAATTTTTCGTTTTAATTCAATCAAGTTAAAAAAAAGTTGCATATGTTACATATGTAAATTCCTTATTTTTAATTAATTAATTAATCGCTTTTATGTATATTTTATATTAATACGTTTCCTTTATTATACAGCTAGCGTATATTTTTTATATAAAGTTTTAAAATAATGACTATAGAATTTCATGTAATTACTTTAATTTATTTAAACTTTCACATGTATAAAAATTTGTTTTTATATAGAATCCAATTCATTTTTATGGATTTAAAATACGGATTCAGATGGATTGAAAATTTCCAATCCATTTTCATTTGCTGGGAAGATCTATTTAAAAACGAATGACATGTGATACGTTTAAATTCCATTAAAATTTTTATTTGACAAAGTTTATATGCGATATCCAAAAGGTTAAGGAAAAACAAGCTGAGATTAGATTGCGATTGATTAATCGCGTTATACATAAATGCAGTTTTTTGGAATAATAAAGTATAATTGCATTTCAACGCGTATAATGCGATTAGTCAGCAACGAATTGAAAAACTCGCCTCATTTCATATTTTACAAACAAGCAACGTGCAGCGACACCCCCCCCCCCTCCTATGCAGTATAATTATACATAATTGATGAGCAGTTAGTAACTTTTAATGTACGTTGCTCACATTTATTGCTAATTATATTACTACAAAAAAGTGAATTTTTTCTTAGAATTTCTAAACCCGGTAAACAATTTTTCATGCATGAATATGTGTAAATATATAAATACATAAACACGCATAAATATTCATAAATATGTATAGTTCTATATGAAATATGTTCATACACGTTCATCCTTTTTTCTTTTGTAAAATTACTTTTTAGTGTAACAGAGAAATAATAATAGTAATGTAAAAATATTAAAAATAATTGAAAATGTAATTTTCGCACTATTTATTTTGGAAAAAATCAAGTTTGAAGAAATGTAAAAAAATTATTTATGTATAATTATATATAAAATTATGCATAATTATGTATGAGCAATTTTTTTTACATTTCTTCAAACTTGATTTTTTCCAAAATAAATAGTGCGAAAATTATCTCTTTAATTATTTTTTATGTTTTTACATTACTATTACTATTTCTTTTACACTAAAAAGTAATTTTACAAAAGAAAAAAGGATGTATAAACATGTATGGACATATTTTATTATATAATTATACATGTTTATGAATATTTCTGTACGTTTATACATATTTATATATATTCATGTATGAAAAATTTTTTACCGGGAAAATATAACAGTTGTGGAACAACATTGTATTTCGAAGAATTTTAACGTAAATTTCTCTCGTTTATTAATGAGACTACAATAAAGTATAAAATAAATTTGATCAATTTTACTGAAGTGCATGGTAAAAATCTTTAAAATATTATATTGTATACAATCACATTAATATTTTATTAATCATAATTAAAATTCTATATATTAGTATTATATAATGCTAATGTAAAAGTATTTGCAGAAATACAAATTCTTGAAGCGTCTTGTTTGAAGTACGCAAAATTAATCGATGCAATATTATAGTCTTACTTAATTCCGATTAGAACCATGTAACGTAATTCTTATTACACATTGTATATACCAATATTTCTATTAATAAGAAAATTTTAATACAAGTTATACGTAAACACAAAAATGTCGTTGTCGAATCTGATAAACACAAAACATATTGTATGTTCAAGAATTCGTTCCCGACCGCTTTCTTCCTCAAAATTGCAACAAAGTAAAATAAAGAAATCGATAAAGGGTTTCTTAGCTCGCTTGACTGAAACGCGATTCAATCGTTCTTGATCGGCGAGGTCAATGGTCGTGAAAGAAGGAAAAAAGAGGCTGAATTTACTTGTCACGTCATGTTAGCTACGTGCATCCCGTTGACTCGCATCAACCGGATACGCATCGATTTTTTTTTTCTTCACTACGCACTCACGCATTATCGGACGACAAGAAATCGACGACGATCCGAGAAAGTCGGTAGTTTATTCGCAAATTACTTACGGCGCAAAATCCGGGCGACGCGATCCACCAGTCGACGAACTAGTCGAACAGGTTGCAACCAAACAACTTTTGTCGCATGCCTGAGTCATTTAGCACGTGAACGTGGCGATCGCCTGCATTTTGTACTTGCGCTCATCGCTGCATGTCTCGTGCATTACATTTCCTTGAGTAGTCTCTGTATGCAAATTTCGCTATAATAAATAGATTCTCAAAGTCCGGAATCACCGGTGAGGTTGCGATTTCCGGGATGATATACACGTAATATACACGTGCATCGTTACGCGATTATATTGTCGTGGAATTTTAAGATAAAATCGAGATTTGTTCAGAATCTCTAATAAATAATACTTATCATATCACTATAATAATATTAGATATTTTATCTCGTTCTTTTATCTGTTTCAACCTCGGATATAAAGATAAAAAAAGAATTTTTGTCGATCCTGTGAAATCGTTTAACACAATAGAACTCTTATTTAACGGATTTGTCTTAAATACCAATCTTTGTCTAGTTCTCATATTTTCTAACAATTTACGCAAAGAAATATCATATTCAAATGAATTTACTGCGTTCTTATTCTTCAGGAAAAAACTTTTACTTCGTACGATTACATGAAAGTTAGTGTCACGTATAAACCAAATGTTCGTTTTTTTGCTGAACTGTGCACTTTGCATTCATCTTTCCCCTTTCCGACGTGAAGACCAAAAGCAGGAAACTAAACCGTGCACATAAAACAGTACAGCTACAAAAAAAAACAAACTTTGTATCAACGGAAAGAGAGGCGAGAATGTTACATAATTAGATTATACGTAACAGATTATACATAATTGTATACAGATTGTATATAATTTTGATGTATATCCGTTGCTCACGAAACGGGCAAATCAATTCTTGATTGAGACTCGAGAACATAATTGACTTTTCATAGTACGATTTCAAAAATCGGTTTGACTATAAATATAAGCATTTCAATCATTTTAAAGGCAAAACTATTTTTACTTCTGTTATAAAGCATTCAATCGGCGATCGTGTCGTCTAAAAAGACACTGAGACTGAAAATTGTAATTTTGTATGCATAAAACACGTGTTTTTTGCAAATTTATACGTGCAACAAAGATAAAATTCCACGCACGTTTCAGATAGAAACATCTTACGTGCAGTTAACTGTACATCGGTACGTAAAGGACCGTGTTAAATAACTTTAATAAACTCCCGACAGAGCTCAATTGATACGCTCGCGTGCAAAGAAGTACTTT